CAAAGAGCAGTCTCACCAAGGTTAGGTGTTCCACCAGCTCCTGTCAAAAATAGCATTTGGTCAAGTCCTTATATAAGATATGGTCTCCCACTAGGTTTGCTAGCTACAGCAGGAGCAGTTATGATGTTGAAAAGAAATAAAGCAAATGTTGTAAATAATACTGAAGTAGCTGAAGTTAAACAAACTCCAACACCTTCACAAGCAAAAACCTTCAATGACTCCTGAACCTATGGAAGTACAAACTCCTGTTCAAAAGTCAACTCCTAAACCGACTCCAACATTTAAACCAGAACCTACTCCTCAAATAAATCGTAAAACTCCTGTGTTTCCTTACTGAAAAAATAACGTTATTTTTATTTAATATTAAAATTTTTATTTGATTGAAATGACAAATAAAGTCACTGAAGCAATGAAACAAAAGTTTTTGGTAGAATACATTAAATCAGGACGGTTCCAGAAGGTTTTTACATTCATACTATGAAGGATGGTAGAGTTCAGTTTAGAAAGATAAAGCAACCATTAGATAAAGAAGGAATTTTGAGAAAGATTAAACTTCATGAGGACAACATTGCTGAACTTAAGAAGAAGTTAGAAGAGTTGGAGAAAGGAAGAGAGTTATAAAGCAATGAATTCAACAGGGTGAGAAAAGAGGTGAAAAAAGAGGTGAGATCTCACCACTTCACCTAAATTTATTTTTGTGCTATGTTTTCATACGTGTGAGGGTGGTGATATCATTAATTTTTAAGTTTATTTTTAAGTTTATTTTTTATTTTATTTTTATATAAATGACGAAAACTATTGAGATAACAAACTACAACGGTCATGAGTTCAAGAATTTGTTCTTCGTTCCTCGTGAAAATACATTCTATCAGATACGAGGGAGAAAGGGTAAAGTTAGTTTGAGCGTTTATGAAGGAATGAAGAATGGAAAGTTTATACAAGCATACGATACAAACGGTAAGCGTGTTTCATTAGCTTTGTCAAAACTTACAGGTATAAACTATGACAGTGATTTTGACCTATATGAAGAAGAAAGTGAGTCAGAAGATTATGAGCTGTTATGTGAAGCACAGCAATGGGAGGAGTTGCAATACTTTTGTAAGTGAGAACGTTTATTTTTTACATTAGTGAGGTGAAGTGGTTGGTGGCTTTGTAAATATTTAAGGTTAAGTTAGTGTTGTTGTTTGTGTTGTAAAATATACGTTAACGGTTTTGTAAAGTGTCAAATTCACATATAATGGGTAAGGGGGCGCGCAGTGCCTCCGTACACTTGACTTGTATACTAACTGTCATCTCGAAAATCGATTAACAAGACAATTTCCCAAACATCTACATACAAGTAGATGATGGTAAACCCATTAGAGTTGTTTTGCTATGATTCCTCCAATCTTATGATGAGAAAAATCATATCAAAACAGCTCTAATCGAACATTCTACACAGCTTAGCATCCAGCTAGTTCCAAGTAATGCGATTACAACATCAACGGCCAAAGCCTTTCAGAGTCCTTTAATCATTTCTTCTCATCTCAATGTGAAGTGGCCCCAAACGAACTACAAGCTGACGTTACAACGCATTACAACCCGGTTAATACGAGCATATACATTAGAGCTGCTTTGTTATGATCTCCCTCATCAATTGATGAGAGATCTCATTATGAAGCAGCTCCAATCGAACTAAAAACCTACATACAAATGAGTGAAAACAAATTCATTAGAGTTGTTTTGCTTTGATTTCTCTCATCAGAAGATGAGAGATACCAGAACAAAACAACTCTAATCAAACTTTCTACACAACTCAGCACAGTATCAATGCAAAGTAATGCGTCTGTATCGTTAACAAGCAAAGTTGTTTCGGGTCCTTCCATTTTGGAAGAATTCGGAACAACTTTGCGAATTGATAGTGTAAACCCATATACATGAAAGCGTGCATGCATAAAGACAGGTATTGTCAGCAATGACTACCTGCCCAGCTATGAGTGATCAGAGAATTACCATCTCAGGCTTTTTGAGAACGTTTCAGCCAGGACCCTCGTATGTTGACTGTGAGAAAGGCATCCTTTATCTGAAATAGATGCTTTTCCAACAATCAAATTCGAAGATCTTCGACGTTGTTGTAAAAAGAGAAGGAGAAGGAAAGAAGAGGAAGGAGAGGAAGAAGGAAAGGAAAAGAAGAAGAAGAAAAAAGAAAAAAAAGAAGGACATATTAAATATAATGCGCACTTAATAGTGCCGAGGCGGCGGAGCCGCCGAGGCGCGATTTTTTTGACCCTATATTACCGCACGGCAATGTTTTTCTCGATTTTGTACAGCCCTATCTTAATGAGAAATAAAGTATATTAGAGGAAGTTTAGAAATATTTTGATATTGATATATTAATATAATGAAGTATTCGAACAAAGGAGTTTACAATTACAATATACTATGACAGTATATTGTAATTGTAAACTCCTTTGGAAAAACAAATTTCGAATGTGACATTCGTGCCACAAAGTGAAAGCTTTTCTCGAAAGGAGTTTACAAATGCAATATAATAGGATAGACTATTGCATTTGTAAACTCCTTTCGAGAAACAAATTTCGAATGTGACATTCGTGCCACAAAGTGAAAGCTTTTCTCGAAAGGAGTTTACAAATGCAATATAATAGGATAGACTATTGCATTTGTAAACTCCTTTCGAGAAACACATTTCGAATGTGACATTGAAAACAAAAACCGCACCAAATTCACGATTTGTGCCCATATTTGCAGGGTCTTATCACTAGACCCTGCAAATATGGGCACAATCCGAGAATGTTGCTTTCGATGTCGCATCGAAAACAAAAAGTGCACGTAATTCACGATTTGTGCCCATATTTGCAGGGTCTTATCACTAGACCCTGTAAATATGGGCACACTTCGAAAAATTACAATTCATTATTTGAATCAGATTTAATGTAATCATATATATTTGAAATAAACTAACACATATACTATACAACATCTGTACATATATTCATTAGTATATTTCCACAAAATTCATATAATTTGGGAAAAATGAAAAGAATGTGCGTGATGTTCTGTCTAAAACATAAATAGATAGCACATCACGCACACTCAAGACATAGTAAAGACGTCCTATAAATATGAACGTCTTTACTATGACTTCACCCCGGGATAACCTCGATGCAAGGAAAAGTGGAGCAATCCACACAATTGCTCCACAATTCAAGTTCATGTAAGGATAGAATATTAAATATTCTATCCTTACATGAACTATTCCTTGCTTCGAGGTTTTAGTTTTAGATTGTGCGTGCCATCCAATCCTAAGCACAAACGGATTGCATGGCATGCACATATATACCATAAGAATGATATCACACGAATTTTATTACCATAATACGATTTTTTTGGTTTAATAAGATGAGATTTAAAAAACTCAGCTATACTCATTTTGTTGTACAAAATATATATCAATCATATAAAAACCTAATAATATTATTCCGTTTTCTGAAAATATTTTATATTTATTGAAATTCGTGAAATATCTTGATCAAATTTCATAATTCTCACAAAAACACATTGAATTCATATGAGCATAGTTATGTAAATATATGATATAGTAATTATCTCATACCGAAATGGCTCACTAAAAAAGTGACATTTTTGGCGCCAATAATTTTATTTTTCTGATTCTTTCTATTTAGATATATTTATTTAATATTCATATTCCTTTATATTGCCTCATATTATTTCCCATTTTTAATCATATTATACAAATCTTTAATAATTTTTAATGTTTTGAGCTTCAAAATCTTGTTCTAACTATTTTCATTCATATATCATAGAAAAAATTAAAAAGTTTTTTAGAAATAAAAATGTTTGTATGTAAAGTATTGAAAATATTCTAGATGAGAAGACATTCTCCAGAAGAGATTGATATTGATTGGCTTTGTGAAGCCACCACAAAATCAAATAATGGAGTTAAGTTAACTGATATTTGCGCGAAAGCTAAAATAAATCATGAAGGCAGAGTTATATATAATCATACTATCTTAAAGTATTCCTAGAAATTTCCAAAATTAACCGAAATATAACTGTACAGAATTACTATTTTCGAGATAAAATTCATATGGAAATACTAATTCATAACGCTTTATGTTATATAAAATTTAATTTATAAAAATTTCAAAATAAATCAAATTTAACACAATGAATATAACTGCAATCGAGGTTTTTGACGATTGATTCTTACGAGAAGTTTTCCAAACTTTGAGTTAATGTCTTGACATTAACTCAAAGTTTGGAAGTCTAATAAGGGGAATTGTAGGCTATGAGGTACTGATTATATATCAGTGCCTCATAGCCTGCAATTCCCATTAGAAATCGGAGAAATTTTGTCCACATAACTTATGATGCGGACAAAGTTTCTCCCATTTCTACTTAGAATGAAAGGGCAAGAGGTATATAGGTACACTATATATCTCTTGCCCTTTCCTTCTTACCTAAAGACTTCCAATCTTATTTTTTTCCCCAATTTTTCCCCTAAATTTAAATCTTATATAATATAAATAAAATGCATAATATCAATCACAAAAATTAATGTTTATTTTTTTAATTAAAATTGCCGCGCTATTTAAGGTTATCTGTCACTTTTTTTGTTAGCCATTTCGGTACGAAACATATATGATATAGTAATAAAAATTGTATATCTCAATTTCGTTTCAAATCTGAATGTGATGCTCAAAGCATATAAGAGATAGAAACTTATTAATTGTGAAATATGTGGGTACTAGACAAGTGTATTTTATCTGTGATATTATCTCAAAATTTGATAAGATATCAAATAATAACTTACACAATATACTTCAAGACTCAAAAAATAATATAAAAGCAGAACCTTATAGATGAGTTATGATATATTGCCGTTTCAGTTTTTAATTTTATCCAATATTCGCAAAGTACCCATTTTTGCAGTAACCGCCGCCACTGCAAAAAATTTGGGTTCGACCCTCATTTTGCTCATGGAATTCATCACCGATATCAACATCTTATCACCAATGCAGAAGTTCATTGTTGAACAGCGCCTCGCAGTAGATGACACAGGTGAGCATACCACCTATGAAAAGATAAGAGCTGCTTTCGAAGAAAAAAAAATGAAGTTAGGTTATCCTGATGAAAAAGTTTTATATAAGAATAATATTACAACCTGTTTATTAGATATCGCGATGGGCTACAGGTGGGAAAAATCTGCAAGTCTCGGAGGAAGACGCTTTTACCTGTGTCCAAAAGACGATTCCGATTTATGCGACGAGATTCGTGCAGATAATGCTAAAGGACAGTTACTTGACAGAGAAGAGATCGCCGAGCTTGCTCCGTATTATAAAATGAAACGACTGAGTACAGCTTTCAAGTTCCTGTCTTCATGTGACTGCGATCTTGAAACTCCCAGCCTTCAGTGGGTCAGTCTTTTCCTTGACCGACATGAGATCCCCTACAGGAAGGTCAGGGAAATTGAACCAAAACGATACTTTGCCTGCCCAGGAGAAGAAGTTATGGCTTATCATCAAGGGGTCAAGAATCTGATGATTCAATTTGCTCGCCAGTGTATCTATAACATGGATGAGTTCATGTTGTCTTGCCTTAAGGCAAGGAATGCGGCATGCCCCAAACATGTTAAACAACTGATTTCAAAGGGTGTTCCTGGATTGCCGTACATATCGGCACTCCTCTGCCATAATATGGATGACGAGGCTGTTCCATCGTTTTTTGTGCTTCCTGGATTGAGGAATCTTCCATTAGAGTTGGACGAGTTTTCCAAATCATGTGAAGCCTTCTTTGCTTCCTCACCCAAGGGATGGGCTACTCGGGAGATCTTCCTTTTATGGACATTTCACTTAACCGAGTATTTAGAGAGGCATAGGAAGCAGATGTGTGAGGAGCTAAGAGATCGCGATACTCTTCTGATTTTGGATGGAAACATGTCTAGGGAATGTCCATTAGCACTCTCAATACTCAGACTCCACAGAGTGCATGTGTACATATTTCCAAGTCACTGCACGCATGTTTACCAGCCATTCGATATTGGCTTGGCTGGTAACGTGCGTAAGAAGTTCTCGAAGTACTATAGAGCCAAACTTCAAGAGCTTGAACAAGATACGAGACCTCATATTATTACGCAGGTTAGGTACAGCGCAATCAAATTGTTAATTGTGGCTTGACAATCTTGGGTCATTTCCATTTTTTTTTCTATCGTTCAAAAAATTTCCAAATTTTTTCTGCCAAAAATGGTATTTCGAGATTGGAGATATCTGGAGCCATATTCACAGCGGCATTTGTCTTAACCTTGTGTATATGAGCAAGTATTCGTTTTTTGCGGGTGTTGACTGCTTATATAACCTATCAAATTTTGAGATTAGGGGAAATAGGTTTAATATTTAAGGGATGGATAAAGCTTGTCTTTGTTAGTAGTGTTGAGATATTTGTTTGGGTAAAAGAGATTTGTGAGTGAAGAATTTGATTTGCATCAAAGTGCAAGAATGGATATGGTATGTATTTAATGTGTCCATATTGGTTAGATATGTGGAAGTTAGTATACATAACAAGTGTACTGAGGCACTGCGCACCTCCTTACCCTTGTTATGTGAATTTGACACTTTACGAAACCGCTAACGTATATTTTACAACACAAACGACGACACTAACTTAACCTTAAATATTTACAAAGCCGCCAACTACTTCACCTCACTAACGTTTTCACAAACGACTTCACTACTGTAAAAAATAAACGTTCTCACTTACAAAAGTATTGCAACTCTTCCCATTGCTGTGCTTCACACAATAGTTCATATTCTTCAGTATCGCTGCTGTCACTCCAATCGTCAGAGTCAAAGTCACTGTCAAAATAAATGTATGTAAGTTTTGACAAAGCTAATGAAACACGCTTACCGTTTGTATCGTATGCTTGTATAAACTTTCCATTCTTCATTCCTTCATAAACGCTCAAACTAACTTTACCCTTTCTCCCTCGTATCTGATAGAATGTATTTTCACGAGGAACGAAGAACAAATTCTTGAACTCATGACCGTTGTAGTTTGTTATCTCAATAGTTTTCGTCATTTATATAAAAATAAAATAAAAAATAAACTTAAAAATAAACTTAAAAATTAATGATATCACCACTCCCACACGTATGAAAACATAGCACAAAAATAAATTTAGGTGAAGTGGTGAGATCTCACCTCTTTTTTCACCTGTTTTTTCACCCTCTTGAATTCATTGCTTTATAACTCTCTTCCTTGGTTTCTTTTTAGTTGCTTTCTTCACGTCTGTCTCCAACTTGACTGTCTTTCTTCTTCGTCCGTAATGATACCAGTTACTTCCACCAGTCAATGGGTCAAATGGTCTTTCGTAAGGGTTTCCATACATTCCATAGGGACCATACGGAAGAACTACTGGTGGAGAAGAAACATTTTCTTTAGTTCCATCGACTCTATTTAAATGCATTGTTTCACCTTTCATCTGGTCATTAAAGTCTTTTGCGTGTTTTGCAAACTCATCGTCCTTTCCTAAAGCATTTTCTGACTCAGTCGCAACTAAATTGGATGCTTTATTTATGAGCCCTATTTTATTTAATCTTAACTTCTTTGCAAGCCAGCCTCCTATCTTTCCTTTATTTGCATCTAATGTCTTCGAAACCCTACCTCCACTCATTTTATTTACTGCGTCATAAGCTCCAAGTGCTTTTGCTCCAAATGCTAATGCTTTTGTTCCCATTGCGCCTAAAGCTGCCCAAGCTACCATTTACACCATATTAAAATCATCTCTCTTCAATATTATCTCATAAAAGTTCTCGTTACTGGAGAAAGTCAATGAAACATAAGTGTTCTCACGGGCTTCGCCCTCACCGCTTTGCGGTCTATCTAACTTCTTTCTTATATCATCTATACGCTTCAAAATGTCTGAGCAATTGCTAACATCTTCTACAACAGTTATTTCATCATGAATGACCTTCAAGAACAAGCTCATTTAATATGCTATTAAAATCATCTCAATAATGAGTCCATCCTTTCCATCTTTAGGTAGCACAACATCTTTCATTGAAGAAGGTTCGACAAGTCTTATGTTAAACTTACTGACAAAGTTTGTTATACTATAATGCTTCGGCGGCGAATACATATAGTTTGAAAGACATAATATAGATTCTTCAGCAAATTCACTTATACTGGATTTTATAACAATGTTTTCACGAGACCAAATGCCACCAATTGAAAAACTTGTAAGCAATCCTGCTGAACCTTCTACTGTAAACGTCGATGGTAACATTCCACGAAGGTCATCTATTGACATCGTTGAGTCACTGTATTTAAATATTTTCTTAAAGCAATCGTCATTATCTAACCATGCAATAGCTTTGAAGTTTTCATTCGAATATACATCTGCTTCATTAAATGTAAAACCTGACTTCTTTGCAGAGACGACTTTAAAATCTATTGAGTTTGTTTCAAAATTATATGCTATGGTAACTTCTGAAGGTAATGGATGTCCTTCCGCAGTAAGTTGTTCTCTCACTACCGTTTGAAGCTTTGTATTAAAAACTTTCATGTCATCTCCTGTATCTAAGTTCACATACACAGCAACAGGGAAACTATCTTGCTTCTTTGTTTCATCATTATATCTCAAAACATTAAAGTTCTTCAATAATATTGTTCTTCCTGCTGGAATACTTCGAACCTGTCTGATTTCAATAGCTTTCTCACCTCCTACATACTCTACCCAGTGTCTTGGATATTCATAAGTATACTGACTTTCTTGAATTTTGGTAGGTTTCATCATAACGTGTTCATAGTATATCTTTATACTCTTGTCAGTTAGACTCGGTGTTATGTTCTGAATATTTCTGACTTGCATTTTTAATGGAGATAAAATGAAGCATTTAATACATGACGTAGATGAAGGCATGAATGAAACTACAGACAAACTTAACTCTTCTCTTATTCTTCCTTTCAGTAAGGACTATGAGTTCTGTTCAAATGGTGTTTATTTCTATTGTGGAAAGATGGGTTCAGGTAAGACATTTAACCTCATTCGTCATATACTCATAACAGAGCGTTTAGGTCAAGATTCATATTATGACCAAATCATTATATCAGCAACTTCAGACTCTATGGACTCAACAGCGAAAACATTTATGTCAAAAGTTCAAGCCTCTGTCGTTAAAGTTCCAGACAGTGAACTCATTGAATTTCTTCAACGTTACATTCGACGTAAGAGAAAATATTATGCCATCGTTGAATTTATACAGTCAGGAATGCAAAAGACTTCTGAGGAGATGGAAAGAATTATTGACAAACACCACTTACGTCAATACTCAGGAGTTTACAATATGAAACGACTTACAAACTACATTCTGTCAAAACTTTCAAAATACCCCTTCAAAAAATATCCATCAAACACTTTATTAGTTTGTGACGACTTCGCTGGTAAAGGTTTAGTTTCAAAGCCTGACTCACCATTAGCTAACATCATTACTAAAGTCAGACATTACCATTTAACTGTAGCAATACTTATGCAAACATGGAGGTTTTTAGCTTTAAACATAAAACGTCTCATAACTGACTTCGTTATCTTTCAAGGTTTCTCACGCTATGATATTGAACTCATTTGGAAACAGTCAGGTATAACATTACCTTTTGAAGAAATTTGGGAAGCATATAAGTCTCTCATCTCTCCTCGTTCATACCTTGAGATTCATATCATGACTAATACCATTAAAGTCAAAAATATTCCATGGGAACGACCAACATTGTTTTAAAGTTTAACCTTCAATTGACTGATGGTAAACAAATTCCATGCATCTCTGTCGCCATTTCTGTTAATATTTTTGCTGTCATTCATATCATCCACTTCCCCATCCGTTAGCTTTTGAGGATATGCGTTAGAATAGCTGTTCTTAAATGAAGGCTTTTCACCTTTGAGAGCATAAACTCTATAACTTTCTGCATACTTTATGTTTGAACCTCCTGAGCCATCATTGACATAAATTTTTATAGGCTTCCACCCTTTGTTCATGTTCCTGCTTCTTCCCTTAGCTCTTTTGTTCAGTAGTTCTACATCTTTATACACAGCACCTGTCTCAGTGAATTCAACAATATTTTCATTCGTTAGCTTTACATTCAAACCCTTGTCGAGTATATTGTTCATTTCATACATATAAAAGGTTTTTATTCTATATGAAATGAGAAGCAAATCCATCTTAGCTGGTGCCGTTAATGTTCCAATTGAACCAACATCAAATGTTGACTCACGAACGACAAACAATATTGTCATAAAGAACTATAGTTCAGAGTGTTTGAAAGAACCAGAACCAGAGCTGAAATCCGTGAATTTAAACACAGCTTCAAACGCTAACGCTACATCAGATGTTAAGTTAGAGTATCCACCACTGGACCAAATTCTTTCAAGAGAAGCCAACGACAACCCTTACACAAATGTTCAAACAAATCCTTCAGATAACGTAGACCATTACCTTCTTCAGTTATACCAAACAATTTTACTCAAAGACGATAAGAAGCTTTTGACAAATCTTATAAGCAAGAACCAAATAATTCTAACAAAGGAGGACCTTGAAAATGTTATCTCACGAATAACAGGGAAACAATGTGTCATTGACTATCTCGACCCTGAAATCGAATGCTGCGGTCAAACTCCACCTTTCATGAAAATAGGTAACATCCGCATCATTGAAACACCAGGAACTACAGGAGTTGAGTTTAAGTATAAATATTCGAACGAGTATACAAAACTTTCAACAGAATATAAACTTTGCTTGAAATATGTTTTAGTAAATTAAAGCAATTTGTAATATCTATCCAAAACTTCTTCAACAGTATCGAACTCATCTTCATAATGCAAACCTAATCTTATTGACTTGGTGCAGTTTTCACTAACACAATATTTTTCTGTTCTCTTGACTGACATAACTAATTCATTTGTTTCATCAAACAGCAACAACCAAAGTTCATGACCTAATACATAACATTCATACTTTATATTTTTAGCTCTGAGTTCTCTTGTAAGCTGTTGCATTTAATATTTTCTAAAAAGTCAACTTCAACAGTCATTCGCACTGGTGCCTTCAGTTCTACAGGCTCTCCTTGAAAGTCAACAAGTCTGAATTGCATGTCTTTCAAATTATGAGGACTAATGCGAACCCATTTACCTAAATGAGTTGCTATGACAGGAACGTTTGGAATGAACATTGAATTGACTGCATAACAGAAGGATTTATATTCTACTGAACCTTTACTATTAACTCCTGAAATGCCTGTGACATTAGCTATTTTAGACTCAATGTATAAACAATTACCATAACATACGTATGGAACAGATTTCATCTCAATCGTTTTGTCAACACTTTTCAAAGGAAATGTCATATGGTATGCACCCAAAAGAAGTTGTACTCTATGACTCATTTGGTATCTTAAACTCCTTCGCATAACTGAACTTCAAAACTCCTGCAATAAGTTTAACATTCATTAAGTTTTCTTCGTTATCCTTGTTTATTGTAGTATTTATGAGAGCATTTAACACTCCAGCTAATGTTTCCATCTTATATTCTACATTATTGTGAAATCTTATTTCGTGCTTCTTTCCATCTATTTCAAGCTCCATGAAATCTGTTTCATCTGTTATAACGAATGAAGCGATAGTATTGAAGTCAACCATTCTGAATGCAAGCGCCTCATTCTGTAGACCTAAGTTTGTTTGTAGCTTTACTGTCCCGTATTCGTTTGGGTCTGTACTTTGCAAATAGAACAACATTTTATTCTCATTAAAATATGAGTATAGCTGCATATGCGTATGAAGCTGACAGAGCTAAACGTTTATATTTTGGTCAATACTCTCTCACACTTACTGACAAATATATTGTTATCACTGATGGAAATACTGAGAAATACATAACATGGAAGGACTATGAAAAGTTTGACCCTATTTTAACTCCATGTACTATGCCGTTTATAAAGGACGGTGAAATTATTGAAAAAGATAATACAACCGTATATAGGTCTGTTTATGAAGCATTAGAATATATGTTGAATCATAACCCAAAAAGATTTGACCCAAGCACTACACCATGTGCAATGCCTTTTATTAAGGACGGTGAAATCGTAAGAGTTCCGGATTCAACGGTTTACACAGCTGTTCAAAACAGTTTACAAAACATTTTAGCGAATATCTTTAATTCAGAAACTACAGAAATAAAATTACCATATATAACAGATGCTAAAGAAATTAAATCAAAAACGACAACATTATTTACGTCACTTAATGATTTAATGACTTATATCATTAATATTCCTGCACCAACTACAGCATTTGATCCAAACTCGACGGTTTGCAGTGTACCTTTCATAAATGACAGTTCATTAATTACTTTAAGGGATTCGACAGTAAATGAATCATTAAAGGCGTCATTAATGAAAATCATTGATTTTAATTCATTCACGAATACATATAATTCATTCATTAATGTTTCATATGCTTCTAAAGAAGGTGAGCCAAAAACTATCGATAAAGCGGTGTATGAAATAAAAGCATCAACGACGAAATTGAATTCGTTAACTTTTGACGGTGATAGTTTCGTTAATGACATAACATCGGGGAAAACAATTTTAACGAAAGAATATTTAAAATCTCATGTTAGTGAGTTCGTTGAAATTGAAAAAGAAGGTGGAATTAAGTTCGATCCACTGAATTTCATTTTCAGCTTAGCGAATGCGGGTGTTAGTTTCGCTGAATGGACAACTATACAGAGTGAAATAAATGCAATATGGACGTTTTTGGGGTCAAAAGCGGGAATGGGTGAGCTTGTAAATGCTGCAAGAACATTAGGTGAAACAGGAAATTTTGTAGATGGTTTTAAAAGACTTGTTTCAAATGTTTTAACAAACACAAAGAAATTATTTAGATATACCGTACATAACGGACGGATTTTCGAACAGATAGCAACAAACCCTCCGGTTATGGCTGCGTTGATGATGGTTAGAGATATAAAACCACGTAACGACGGGAACGAAGAACATGAACAACAGGATACTGGTCGGGTTATTCGAGACATTAAAAACGTGTATCCTGAAGTTATTGATTTATTTAGAGGAGTTAATGATTCAATTTCAAAACATTCTATAACCCTCGATGAAGAGAATAAATTAACAGATTATATATTCGTCATTATTGCAGAATTAATGAAGAGAATAAATGAAAAAGGAATTGGTGATATCATTAATGTCAGCGATGTAATGATGAAAAGAAATTTTGACTCATTATTTACAAAACCGAAAACAGAATATAGTCTTTATGACGTAATTACCGAATTAATGAAAAAGATTAATGATAATAAGAGTTCTGGCGGAAGAGTTGAATTAGAAGTGAATGATGTTAATGAGAAATTAGCCGAAAAAGCAGACAAAAATGAGCTTTTAGCTCTGAGTGATAAAGTCAAGAACCACGTTCATTATATAACTTCAGACGAACAGATTATAACGGACTACCATGGATATTTAACACGAAGTGATGAAGCGAAGACAAAAAATGTTAATGAAAGAAGATATAAATACATTCGTGCTAAAGGTTATGACATAAGCTGTACTGTACAGTATGATGTAGCTAAAGCACCAGAAGCATTTGGTTATACCGGTGAAATTTATGCCTCTACTTTCAATGTTAACGGTGTATTAGTTGAACCAAGATTTACTTTGAGAGTTAAGTCAAAAATAACGTTTGAAGATGCTATTAAAAGTAAAGCTGACAAAGTTGAACTCGAAGCAATGAACAAAGTTTTGAAATCTCATAAACACAACATCTCCGATATAAATGAACTTCAAGCTACATTAGACAGTAAAGCCGACAAGAACCATACACATGAATCCTTCACTACTGTTAGAGCAGACGACATAATATTGAACTATACCCTTGGTTCAAGTGCACCTTTAGAGAATCCAAGTACAAGCGTAAAAGATACACTAAACAATTTAGATAACAGATGTATGAACATTGAAGGTCATGCCAGAAACTTTGAAGCATACGAACTACCAGCAATGTTAGATAAGAAAGCAGACAAAACTTATGTAGATGAAAATTATACAAAGAAGTCGGAAGTAAATGCTGCGCTTAATGGAAAAGCCGACAAGAACCATACACATGAAGAATTTCAAACAATCAAGATTAAAGAAATTAAAGCATGCATCGAAATAGTAACAAAAACAGGAAGAAACGGTGCAACTGTACAAGAACAAAGAATTTATCCTCCTACTTTTCCTAATGGTTTAATAACAAACAATATAAATATTGTAGAAGGCAATAAAGCTATAAACGTTAAACATGAACTTCTAACAATGAAGGCCCAGATTCTTCAAACCATATATTCTGTTGGTTCTATTTATACGTCAATGAATTCAACAAATCCAGAAACAGTTTTAGGTTTTGGTACTTGGGAACAGATTGTAGACAAATTCTTATACTGTGCTAACTCTTCAAAGCAAACAGGGGGTTCGAAGAAAATTACTGAAGCAAACTTACCTGCGCACACTCATACAGGAACGACAAACTTTTCTGGCGACCATAGCCACTCATTACGAGACCACCCATTATACAACTCAGAATATAAAGCTGGCAATGATGTTTTATCTCCATCTTATAACAATTCAGCAAAAAAGACTTTTCGACAAACTGAACCAGGAGGAAATCATGTCCATACTTTCACAACAAATCCAACAGGAAGTGGAGCAGACTATATGCCACCTTATATGACGGTTTATGCATGGGTTAGAACGGCCTGAAAGTCCTGAGCTCCAAAAGAGCGAACAGCATGAAATTACTAAATTTAACTTTACATAAATGAGCTTGAAAGAAGTATTCGAACAACATCCATGGAGGTCATTTAAGAAGTTCAATGAAGCTGCAAAGAGTTGGGGATTTACTAACAGAGCTGAAGTGAAAAGGTTCTTTGACAAAAATGTTGTACATCAAACAAAAATAAACCCTTACGACTACTTTTTACCAATTTACTCCAACACTCCTGACGCATACCAATTTGACACTCTCATTCAAAGCAGAAAAGGAGGACATAAACCATTCCTCATCTTCATTAATGTTAACACTCGTAAAGCATATGCATATCCAATGAGGAATAAAGGAACTCGTGAAGTGTTAAGAGTTTTACAAAAGTTTGTAGCAGAACATAGCCCAAGTACTTTAACATCAGACCAAGACAGTGCATACCTCAGCAATGAAATCACAGATTTTCTCATTAAGCATAACATAACTCACTACACTACTGAAGACCATAACCATAACATACTCGGCATCATAAACCGCTTCATAAGAACGCTCAGAGATTTAAACCAAGAGCGAGACTTTACCGAAGAAACAATGAAACATTTTCTCGAAGTATATAATTCCTCAACACATTCTACAACAGGACATACACCAAATTCAATGACACAACAACAAGAAGAAAAGTATATACAAAAGAAACGAAGCCAAACACAAAATATCAGAAATTCAACACAATTTACCCTCATTCCTGGTACAAAAGTTCGTGTAGTTCTTGACGACAAACCGTTGACAAAGAAACGTTTAAGGTTAAGTAGAAACTATTATATCGTAGACTCTACGCAAGGTAATGGATATCTTATAAAAGCTGCTGACGACTCTATTGCTTTACCCTCGTCAGAAATTAGTTGAAAGTAGTAATGGCAAACTTGCTGAAACCATTGACGAAGCAAAGCGAGGAGTGGTTATTGAAATACTTGGCTATAACATAAACGATGACACTTATAAAGTAAGATATGAAGGAGGCGTTGAAGATGTTATATCATCTAAGAACTTGAGAGAGTCGAAGCCAACACATCTGGGACCATTAGAGCGGGAGTACTGGAAAGACAAAAATAAGCCAGAAAGAATAAGAAAATTCTTCTAAACTTTTTCATTAGATGTAAATCAGACATGAATGAGAACAGTCATGATATCATTAATGGTACCATTTATTTTTGTCATAAATTTACACCAAAAATAATGTTTAGGTGAAGAGGTGAGATCTCACCCGTTTTCTCACCTCTTTTTTCACCCTCATGAATTTTCATGAATGTTTTCAGTGTCACCACGTCACCATGTCACCAGGTTAATTAACTTCTCTTAAAAATGATGACAACATGACATTTAGAGAACTAGCCCGGAAATAAATTTTATCGTTTATGTTTACGTTAATGTTTCGTAAATGTTTTCATGAATTTCCTTAAGATAGAAAAAATAAAGTTAGTTTTATTTTTATTTATTTTTTTTATTTTGTATAAAAGATATGATTTCAACAATCGGTACAACAACAATTCAAACTACAGCACCAAACTCGTTAGTTATGAATCCTACGTCAATGTTGATAGAGATGAAAAACTTTATTCCTTCTTCATATACTTTTGAAACAAAAATCCAGAAGATAAAGCAAGAACTTTTAACAAGTAATTTAGACTGTACCGCACAGGATGAAGAAAATGAAGAATATCTTTATGACATGCAGGACCTCATCGACCATTTACCTAAACTACCTGAAATTCAGCAACAAAAACTAACCATTCCCGAATTTGACGAAATTGAAGTCAAAGCAACTGACTCAGTAGAAATAAAGAAGTTCATACGAAAGGTAAACTATGAGTTTCTAGGATATCATTGCAACCATAAAGTTATGGACAAAGATTGCGACATGGTTTATAAAAATATTTCTGACCTTTACAAATCCGAAGAATTTAAGACATACGACAACTTTGTTTCATTAATTGCAGAATGTGTATGGCAGATAAGAGATAAAGATAGAAGAGGTAAAGTATGGAATAAACAGATAAAACCAGCAGCTTTTGAGTTAAAGAAAACCATTGACGCCTTAGTTGTTCTAGCTGGTTTTATTTCAATGTATAACGCAAAAACGATGCCGCAATGTTCAAAATGTAAAGCAGCAATAAGAAAATATAACTACTCAGTCAAAGAGATAGAAAGAATGCGAAACGACTATGCAGACTTAAAGAAAGAAGCAGAAAAGCCAGCAGAAGATAAAATGGATATGTTGACATTTCTTAATAAAAACTATTCAACAGCAGAAGATTTCCTTCTATCTGACGTCAAGAAGAAGTATAAAGAAACTTTCGGTATCGTTAAAACATTCGATGTACTAAAAGAAGAAATAGAAGCTACGAAACTGTTTAGGATTTCAAATATACATCGTACAATTCATGTAAAACGCTTGTGAAAAAACAGGTGAGAAAACAGGTGAGAAAACGGGTGAGATCTCACCTCTTCACCTAAACATTATTTTTGCTGAAAAATGACCAAATTTCATGAATTTCATTAGTTAGAAAAATAACGCTAATTTTATTTTTATTTATTTTTTTTATCTTGTATGTAAAGACAGTAATGACAAACATTGAGTTTGAAACAGTTAGAAAGATAGACAATGACACCAAAGTGGTTAGAATAGGTGATTTAAACGTAAGATACTCAAAGAAATACAACAAATATTCTTTGTCAGACATGATAACACCTTCTGGAAAGAAAACAAAGGACTGGGTTAGAATTGCTTCTACTCAGAAAATTTTGACAAGAAATCCTGAGCTCATGATATCAGTAGCATTTCATGGAACAAGAGCATATCTTATAGACAAAAGTCTTATACCAATAGTTTTGTTATGGTTAGACCCAGTTGTTGGATATAACTTCATAACATATGGTTCATTCGATACGGAACGTTGCAGTGAAGGCTTACTTTACATCGTTCAGAAACCGAAGGACTTCAACACAAAAAGATATAAGATAGGAAGAACATATAATATAACTCTAAGATATGACAGTACAGTCAATAGAGTCAAGGTTGTGTTGGTTAATGATATGAGAGCTGCAGAAACAGAACTACTTGAAAAGTTTGAGAAAATGTATGGTGCTCCCATAAAAGGTAAAGAAACGTTTGAAGTAGATGAGATAGATAAAGCTATAAAATTATTTGACGAAGTTGCTGAAAACATGTAAAGCGTTTATTTTTGGTCTTTTGTGAAAGTCAGAAAATAACGCTAATTTTTTTCTAACAAAAATTTTTATCTTGTATGTAAAGACAGTAATGTCAACATCAGAGAACACAACAACTGCTATCGTTCATGAAGCCATCAATGAAGAATACGAGTACATACAGTATAACAAACAGTTACGTCTCATTCGTTCAGTCAAAGATGACATGTACCAAATGCAAAGTATAATGAATGCTCTTCGTTCTACAAAGCAAGCATATCATTGGTTTGAAAACCAACAGACAAAAGAACTTTTAGAAGAATTTTCTCATATGATTGCTTCCCTCGGAAAACCGAGAGAAGAGATTCCGTACGAAAATCGCAAGAATTTGGCACCTGGTTTGAAAGGTTATTATGTTCATAGACTTTTAGTAAACGCTGTAGCAATGTGAGCTTCACCTCGTTATGCTTGTTATATTTTCATGATGTTAGATGAACTATATAAAGCAGAACGTGGAGAGATGGAAAAGAAACTTCATGCAAAAGATGAAGTCATTGAATCCAAAGACAAAAGCATACAGAAAAGAATACCACGTTCAGTACCAAAAGGAAAGGAAAAGAGTTATAAGTATATGATTTATACTGAAGAGTTGGAGAAAGAAGAAGATAAAGATATGGTTATGTTGCATTTAGTCAGAAGAAACAACAAGAGCTTTTATGACTTAGCTAAAATATATAAATCTGACAGAAACTGGTTCTATCGTGAAAACTTACCGATTTCAATGACACCGAATGAGCAAATAAAGGAAATTGTCAAAAATACTCTTCCTCAAACACACTATGACATCAAAGGTTGCACAATACTTACATTCAAAGAAGACTTAACATTACTGAAGGAAAAAATAACAGAATATTTCGACAACTTCAAAGAGGAAG